GAATAATTTGGTATCCAATTTACTAGAATAATTAATTTGGGAGACCAATTCTATCTTTTACCATCCATTAGCGAGGCTCAATTAAAATCAGCGTAACTATAACTTGAAAATTCTTCAATTTTTTTTTTTTTGAAGAGAATTACACGTTAGTTAGAAAAAAAAAATTTATAAAAAAGTAGTAAACATTATAAATATTAGTAGTTAAAATTATAAACATTTTCATTAATGTGTAATAATTTTTAAAGGATAAGCCTTCTCTTCGGTTTACAAAGTAAATTGAACGGTATTGTTGGGCCCGTAGTGCTCACCATGAGTTCCATTTTGATAATCTGAACCGTTAATATTTAGAGTTTGTCGAGTACTTCATCTCAGCAAAAAATTATATTGATTGGGTATCGATAGCCCCTTGATCAGATCATGTTTTTGTTAATGATAAATATGATTTAAAAAATAAATTATTGACAAAAATATTTTTTGATCAAGAGCCATTGACAAAAATATAATTTGATCAAGTGTCTATTGATATCTGATTAACGTAATTTTTGCAAACTTGACGTACTTGACGGCGTCTATATATTAAATAGTTTGGATTATCTTTACAAAGTAAATTGAACGGTATTGTTGGGCCCGTAGTGCTCACCATGAGTTCCATTTTGATAATCTGAACCGTTTAATATTTAGAGTTTGTCGAGTACTTCATCTCAGCAAAAAATTATATTGATTGGATATCGATAGCCCCTTGATCAGATCATGTTTTTGTTAATGATAAATATGATTTAAAAAATAAATTATTGACAAAAATATTTTTTGATCAAGAGCCATTGACAAAAATATAATTTGATCAAGTGTCTATTGATATCTGATTAACGTAATTTTTGCAAACATGACGTACTTGACGGCGTCTATATATTAAATAGTTTGGATTATCGAAAATGAAACCGTAGTGATGCACCCAATTTAAAAACCCTCCCCGAAATAGTAATTTTCCCAATTTTTTAGCTATAACTTGAAACTTTTTCAATTTGAAAAAGTAAAAAATTTACTAATTTTGCATGATGAAATTTAACTCCATCAAATTGTTATAAGAGAATGCTCAATCAGCGAAATTTCACTTAATCGGAAACTCACTGAAAAATGGTCATAGACAATCGGTGGTAGTTATTGGAAAGTTGTTGGCGTTTAGAGATAGTAGAGTAAAGTCTTAGCGGTGTTTTGGGAAGTTGGTAAAAAGTTAGTTTTTGACTTTTTACCAAGTTTTTTAACTTTTTTGAAAGTGATTTGAGAAGTTGGTAAAAAGTTGACTTTTTTGATTTTTGATTTAATATTTTTTAAAAATATCACATCACCTAAAATGACCAAAATATCCTTACTTTTTGATTTTTAAATTAATTAATTAAATTATTTCAGAGGGTAATTTGGAAAAAGTCAAAGATTCTCTTTTCTCTCTACTTTTTGCACATCTTTTCGTAATTAGCCAAAAAGTCATCCCAAACATACAAGTTTTTTTTACCTACCTTTTTAGCCAAATAGCCAAAAAGTTACTAAATTAGCCTGTTCCCAAACGAGGCCTTAGTTTGGGATGTGGGATAGTGTTTTAGTTTTTTTTTTTTTTGACTATTTTAGTTTAAGGTCAAAAAATCTTTGTTTAAGATAAAAATTTTAGTTATTTTAATTTTTATGAGAGAAAAAATGTAATGATTATAATTCAGATGTGATGTTTTATCTTATTAAACTAAAAAATTTATATTGTCTTTTTGTGACTATTTTAGCCCCAAGTAGGTATGCCAAACAAAGCCTTGCAATGCCAGTTAGAGGTAGTAGAGTAATGAAACTAAGGCCTTGTCCATAATTTAAAAAAGTTAAAAAGTCAAAAAGTCACTATTTAGATTATTCCAAACCACTCTTAAATTAAAGATAATTTTTTGACCCAAAAAAATTACTACCCTTAAATTAACAAAAATATTTAGAAAATGCTATAGATCCCAAATAATTTATTAATTTTTTTACCAAATCTCTCAGATGAATGTGGGATCTACACAAACTCATATGTATGTAGGTCACATATCCATGTGAGAGGTTAGGTAGAAAATTTAATAAATCATTTGGGGTCTCTAGCATAACCCAAAATATTTTAATTATCCTTAACGTAATACATTTTTTTTTGGGGTAAACTACTAATGAGTCCTAATAATTGGATTTAATTCCAATCAAGTTTTACTGAAAATAAGTTCTAGTATAATCGTTGCTAAAAATAATTATTTGTGATATTTTTTATATATGTCGCTAAAAATTGATAATTAATGACTTTTTTTGTCACGATTTTTTAAATTGTCTCTAAAACTTATAATTAGTGATATTTTTCTGTGACGAATTTTTTAAATTGTCGTTAAAAGTTGAAAATTAGTGACATTTTCTTATGATAATTTTTTAATGCTAAAACTTATAATTTGCGATTTTTTTGCGATAATTTTCAAATTGTCGCTGAAAATTAACAATTAGTGACTTTTTTTAATAGTATATGATAAAAAATATCATTAATTATCATAGGACCTATTAAAAATAAGTTTACTTAGTACGATTTATACGTAAGTCCCATTTTTTTTATAGGATTTAAATAAAAATTCCAATTTTTAATGTTTGATTTACACAAGATCTTAAAAAATGAAAAGAAAAAAAAATTATAATCAGTCGGTGTGCAACAACTAGGGTTGTAAATGAATCAAATTGTTCATAAACAAGCTCGGCTTGGCTCGTTAACGACTCTGCTTGTTTAGTAAACCCGTCGAGTTCGAGTTCGAATATTATGCTCGTTTAGTAAATGAGCCGAACTCGAGCTCGCATAAGTTTAACTCGTTTATCTTTATTTAAATTATATAATAAATATATTATTTATATATTAAATAATATATAAATATATATATATATATATGAATAATAATATAAATACATTTTTTATATATTAAATAATATAAATAATATTAAAAAAATTTATCGAACTGAGCCAAGCCGAGTTGAACTTGAATTTCATTAATATTAACGAGTTGAGTTAAGCCGAGCTTGAGCCCAGTTCCTTATCGAGCTTGAGCTCGATAAATAGATGAGCCGAATTCGAGCTCAGCAAATCTCAACTCGACTCAACTCGATTCGTTTGCAGCCCTAGCAACAACTTCGTTGAATGTTTCAATCTCTCTCTCTCTCTCTTTCTCAATTTTTATTTTTTTTGAACGCAATCTCTTTCTTCAAAAGGCCTTTTTTCCATATAACTTATCAAGTTTAAAGTACACAAAATACAAAGTTAAATGCGTCTTTCAATAGCAAGACCTAGGGATTAAGCCCCCAGGTCTCAGGGTTTAAATTTTTTTGGACTAATCCTCTGGGTGTAGCACAATTGATTAAAATGTTAGTTTCAAACAGTTTCATTACACTTGGTGTGGGTTCGATACTTCCCCGTTGTGCGAGTCCTGACTTAAGCGAAACTTGTCTTGGGAGGTCGGGACAAGTTTTCAAGTTATAGTCTCCTAACTCAGAATGGATAACAGGATAACCTAGTGATCTTTACAAAGACGCTGCCTTGGACCTGTGGGCGAGTAGGAGAATTTTCCTGTAACAAAAAAAAAAGGAAGTTTTTTTTTAAATTTTTTTAAAATTATTTTCACCTCATAAATTGAATAAAAAATACACCAAATACTATAAATATATCTATACTATTATATATGTGAACGCCAATTTTGGTGGCTTGAAAAAGATACATACAAAAAATTAAATTAATTAGACATAAATAATCATATGATTAAATCATATATATGATAGATAATATAATATATAAATAGTCTATTCTTAAAAACATATAGATTGTATAAAAATAATAATCTAATAGTATGATCATCGATATTAAATCAACTTGAATTTTTAGATAGATAATTTTTTTAAGCCTTGTTTGGGAAGATGGTTGGCTAAAATAGCTTACTAAAAGACAAAATAAGCTAAAATAATCAATAAGATAAAGGAGTTGTTTGAGAAGTGCTAAATTAGTATACTTTTTAACTTTTTATGAAAAAATGTGAAATATAAGTTGGGTTTAAAGTAATAGAGAAGTGATGTGACTTAAATAAGATAATTACGACCTAAATAGAATAATTTGCTAAAATAGCATGTGTTGTTTTAGTACATGTCAAACAACCACAAAAAATCACATCAAATTTATGATCATTTCACTTTTTCTTTCACAACTATCAAATCAATTATAAAAAAAAAATCAATCATCTTCCCAAACACAACTGTTTTAGTTAGCCAAAAATAATAACAAAAAATCAATTAAAATAATCAATTTCCCAAACAAGGCCTTAATTAGTTATACAAGATAAATGAATCTTAGATCATCAAAATAAATCCAAATTAATCCAATTGGCCTATTTTAGATAGTAAGAAAAAAACCTAATTTTTTTTATTCTTTTAAAAAAACGTAAAAATAAAATAAAATAATTCAAATAAATTAATAAATTATTTTTTTTTTTTCCAATTGCCGAATAAGTCGAAATCAACCTCACCGTAAAATTACCACCAGGGTTGGTGGCATGGTGGAGAATGCAGTGCATTCCCTAGCATTGAGCCAGGGTCGATTCTTGAGAGGGGGTGTTTGAAATCTCTTTAGAGAACACGCCCTGTACTCCTCTCGACAACTTGTCCTCTGTTGAGACGTGTGGTTACGCTTCATTGGTGCTCTGATGATGGGTCCTTCACTTGGTAAGAGTTAATTCTCGATTACTCCGGAGTCAGGACCTACGGGACCGTAATGACGTCACATAACCCCTTTTCTCGTTCAAAAAAAAAAAAAAAAAAAAAGAAAAGAAAAGAAAAGAAGGGCTCTCCGTAAAATTAAGATTTTTAAATTTAACAAATCCGAAATCTTTACTTTACCCTAACCCCAAAAAAAACTCCCCCAATAAATAGCGCAATACTACGCCAATCCTTCTGTCTCCTCCGCATCCCCCTAATCTCAACCACTACCCTCTCCCTCCCTCCCTCCCTCCCTCCCCTTCGCTGCAATTTTCGCTTCTCTCTCTAGATTTCCCTCTCTGCAATTTTTGCTTCTCTCTCTAGAATTCAATCTGTCCCATTGTGAATGGTGGAAATCTCAAGCAATTGCTTCATCTTCTCCCCCTTTCCTTCAAGGGGGATCTCTGTCTCCTCTGTTTTCTCCTTCGGATCCTGCAAAGAAGGCTGGTACTATCGCTGCCTCGGCCTCGACCCTTAAAACCCATTCCCCCCAAATCTCCATCGCTTTCTCTCTCCACACCAATCCAAACCCCAAAACCCATCTTCTCTCAGCTAGATTTTTCTCTCTTCTTTTCATAATTTCTGTCTTTTTTTTTCTTCGCAATCAACTATGGTTCTCCACAAGCAGAAGAAGAACCAGGCCATCAAGGGCGGTAACCGCCTCTTGGTCAGCATTACCGTCCTCGGCAGCGCCGGTCCGATCCGATTCATAGTCCATGAGGGCGAGCTCGTCGCTGCCGTCATGGAAACTGCGCTCAAGTCCTATGCCCGCGAGGGCCGACTACCGGTGCTCGGCTCCAATCTCAATGATTTCGTCCTCTGCTCCCCCATTGCTGGACCTGAAGGTATATAATTGCCAATTCGATGAATTTCTTCAATACCCATAACTAGTTTTTAAATTTTCAATCTTTAATTTGAGGTTTTTGTTTGATAAATTTTGAAGCTTTGAGTCCATGGGAGGCAATTGGGGCGATTGGAGTTAGGAATTTCATGCTCTGCAAGAAGCCCCAGTCGGAGAAAGCTGTCATTGATGAGGAAAAGCAGAGGATTGTGAGGAAGAGCAATTGTAGTTGGAAGGCATGGTTCAATAAGTCTCTCAACCTTAACATATCTAGCCATTGAAACCACTTTATCAATAGTCTTTGGGAGTCTAATAATGCTGTTGTTGTTGATTGCAAGACTGTTGTTTTTGTTTGGTTTGTTTCCCTCTTGGGTTTTGAGTTGTAGTAGCTTGAAATAATTGCGTCTGATGAATAAATGTATTCATCGATGATGCTTTCTTATGCTTGCAATAAAATAGAGAAGTTTGGTTGTGTCTTTTTATGTATATTTTGAAGTGTTTGTCCTTTTATTTGGTTCTTTACGAATTGTATTTTTGTGTTTAGAATTTCTCTGTTTTAGTTAAAGTTTTGCATGGGATATTGATGATTTCGATTTATTGGAGCATAGAAGTATAATTTATTAGCTGTTTGTGCAACTAGGGCTTTGAATTCTAGTTTTTGTATGGTTAATCGAGGATATATTTGAGAATGGATTGTTATCATACAGTGAACGCAGAGTGGTGAATTTGATTACAAGTTAGGATTCAGTATTACTAATACTAGGTTTGGTCCTTAATCAGTGATCACACAGTGAATAATGTGAAACAACTCTTGGTTTTTCATGGCCAATTTTTTGGTGGACTAGTTTTGTCAATTTTGTAGTTTATTGATTGTGTTTATGATTATGTAATAACCTCAAACTTACAAGAATCAAACTATTATCTACGACAGAGCCCTGTAGATTTCAAACATCAAATTGTTTTGGGGAATTATTTGGTCTTTTTAAATTGTTGATCTTGTTTGATTGGCAAGTCAATGTTTAAGGATGTTTGTAATGCTAGATGACTGACTGCTTTTGTGGCAAATGTAGGAAGTGATGTTAGCGTGTGAGGCAATAGAAGGGGGAAAATAATAATAATAATAATAATAATAATAATAACAACAAAAAATAAAGAAAGGAAAAAGAAAAAAAAAACTAGCACATTAATAAAACCCTTTGAATTCTTTCTTCTTCTTTCGGTTTCTTTTTGGTGGAATTTAAGTTTAGTTCAGTTCAGACTAGCACAAGGAGACTCAGCTCGAGGTATACCTTCTAGGCATATTGCAAGCAGTTTTGAACACGGGAAGGACATTGCATTGATTTATTGGAGAAAATAGAATCTGAAATACACAGTGCACAATGTGAAGAATGTGATACCATGCATGAATTGTTCGGTCTTCAGATTATTGTTGCAAGGATTAAGATTTAGTCAATAAATTATATTGAAAACAAATGAAATTATGAATTAGGTGGCTGTTTAAAAGTTGATCTGCAAACTTGATTAATTGAATTGTAGTTGACGACAAGCAGATCAATGAGGATCTTCAATTTGGAACCCCCTCTTGATTGAAGAGTGCATTCAGTTTTGCATATCAGGCTTTGATTGCACATTTCATGTATTGTGGTAGCCGAGAGTTGTTCATTTCCACAAGCCTTTGAAATACATTTTTGGACCGAGCAATGGGACATGAGATTCTTTGACCGTCCATGAGTAACACAGAACCTTCCTTAGCCGTCTTGTTGACAAGTATTGTTTAGGTATACCAAATATGAATAAGCATATTCTTGGCGTTTGATCTATGATAGCGACTATCAAATATTTGATTTATGATTGTAATTATCAATTAAATATGTAGTCTCTTGAGTTTGTTGAGAATAAAGGATGCAAAAATGTTGTAGCAAGCGTGTACTGAAAAGCTTATGTCGGTTTTCATCCCAGTACGACACATAAATAACTGTAGCACATGCACAAGTATGGTGCCTGTCCAATAATTAACATAAATTTGGACTCTCTCTCTGTGATAATGTTTGTAGGAGGTGGGACAGGTTATCATCTTAGCATTCACTGTTGGCTTTTACCATTTTTGTGTTACTATTGTTACCATAGTGGTTAGTACAATAAGCTTTAGTAGTTTTTGGTGTTTGGTGTTACTCTTGTAAGTACTATGCATCAAGAACACCACAGCCTCTGTAAAAGGGATTAAATTAAAATTAGAGGTGGTGCTTAGCTAATCAATTTATTAAACAACCTATAGCTAGATCCATAGGTGGCTTGCTATGCTAGTGTAGTTGCTCTTTATGAAATTTGTTAATCCTTTTTTTTTTTTTCATTACATAATAACTAGAATGCACTTCTAACAACTAATATACTGAAGTGCCTCTGGGAAAGAGGCGGGAGTCCAAATTGGGTTCAATTTACCACCAAGTTACAAGTCTCATTGGTGAAGAGACTAGGAGACCTAATAAACAAGAGTATATTCTGTTATTATATACTATATATGTTGAAAACCCACCCCACCCCAACCCAATTACTAAAAAGTCATGTTGGCTTGGTTTGACCTGGCTCCTGTTAGTCACTTTCCTTCAGATAAAAATAAAACTACTTTTTCATAGCACTTGAAAAAAAAAGAAAAAGAAAAAAAAAGAAGCATACCCTACTGGACTTCCATGAAAGAAATGTTAAAAGGTTACGTCTCCATCCTCCTCTCTCTCTCTCTCTCTCTCTCTCTCTCTCTCTCATTTTGTGGGCACAATGGAGGGTGCTGTCACAGCAGGCTGGTTGAGATTTGTATCATACCCTACTGGACTTCCATGAAAGAAATGTTAAAAGGTTACGTCTCCATCCTCTCTCTCTCTCTCTCTCATTTTGTGGGCACAATGGAGGGTGCTGTCACAGCAGGCTGGTTGAGATTTGTATCGATTTTATTGTGATAATCGAAATCATTTATATTATAGGGTTTATCGAGTATATCATTTATATAAAAAATAAAATTAATCGGACATGTATTGCTTATGATTGGACTATAATTATTTTTTAAAAAAAATTATCAAAATATACTGAGCATTTATTTTTTCAAACATAAATGTGGTCATGTTATAAGTTACAAATATTTAATTAACTTGATTTTTTATTTTTATTTTTTATGAATGATTTAATTAACAAATTTTACAATATAAAAGATTCGACTTATCAAAAATAAACTCACAAAATACCCCCACAAATTCAATTATACTTGTCCATTTTCTTGTAATTGTTTTTTCCCGTCCACTCGGACATTTTTTTCTTATGTTTTATATATAGTTTGTTTTAACCACAAAAGTTTAGCCGTGTTGTCTTAGCATATAATGATCGTGTTATTGCTTTGGATTCTTTTGTCAAATACTTGGAGTTCTTTTCACATTTTTTTTTTTAAACTTAAAATTGTATAGTACTCATAGGCCATGTTTGATTCACAATACTAATAGTGAGGTATTAATAATCCAATCAAATTAGTGTAGTATTAACTATCCCACCCCTACCCCATTACTAATAATCCTACAAATTTGTTGGATTAATTATCCATTGGATTAATAGTCCTAAACCAAAATGTCAAAACAAACATAGGATGATTGGGCCCACGGATTAATAATCCTAATCCCATGCTTTAATCCTTCCAATCAAACATGCTCATAAATTATAATTTTTTATTGGGTAAATCACAAATACACTCTTGAGATTTGTTTAAAATACAGATTATGCCATGTGGTTTGAAAAATTACAAATATCCCCTTATTAAAATTCTTTATTTAACATAATTAACTAAAAAAATGAAATTCATAATTGCTTTCCTATACAATAATAAAATCACTTAAATTATTAATTGAAACATATTTTTAACATTATTAAAAACTATTAATTGACTTGATAATTTATTTATAAAATGGACAATTTGTTATGAAATTAAAAATCTTAGAGGGTAGAATGTAATTTTTAAAATTATAAAGGACGATTTATATTTTAATCAAATTTTAAGAGTGTATTAGTAATTTATCCTTCCATTGGGAATTCAACTGAATCATAACCTTGATGAAATAAAATACAGATCTATGGTATTGGGTTTTTCTTGATTGTTTTTCTTTGTTATCTTTGACTTGCACTCCATTGGGGATGGGCCACATGTGTTAGTCTTACGAATATGCTATGTTTAGTGTGAATTAAACAATTAATTAATTAAGGCTCTGCATAGAAAGTAATTTTCTAATGTTATGTTTGGATTGAGTGATTTGGAGAGAAAAGAAAAGAAAATGGAGAGGTGTGTATTTCTCTTACTTGTTTGGATAATCTAAGTAGAGAGAAATTGGAAGAAATGATCATTTCTCTTATAAGACTCATTTTCAATCTTTCAAAAAGTGGAGAGATTGAGAGAGAAAAGAAACCACTATTTTTAAAATATTAATTTTGTCCCTATAAAAATAAAAGAAATAAAATGATTAAAAATATAAAAATGTTATTTTGGTAATATAATATAAAATAATTTCTTTTCTTTTCTCTTAATGAAATCTAACCAAACAAGAATGAGAGAAATCATAATCATTTCTTTTCTTTTATTTCTTCCTTATCCAAACAAAAAGGAGAGAAATTACGCTCATTTTATTTCTTTTCTCTTATAACTTAATTAATCCTTTCTCTTTTTTTTTTTCTCTCCTAAATTCCAAACATAGTGTGAGGCTTGGATTTACAGAATCAAAGATCTCACCTAGTAAAAAAAAATAGGAGTACATTTTGCAGGTTGAGAATGTGATACGCATGTGGGAATTGTCGACGATGATATTACTTTTAAGCTGGAGATGACAAAGATCTCCCAGAATATTGATCTCTTGTTGATACTCTTTATAACAAAAATAATGAATAATTGTGAAAGCTGTTTTTCAAAATTTGAAAATAATTTGTTGGTATATTTTAAAAAGTGATTTTTTTTTTTTTTTTTTAGAAAAAGGAAATTCAAAGATAGTTATCAGAAATAATTTATTAAATAAATTTTTTATATTTTTCGGGAAAATGAAAAAAAAAGAAGGGAAAATTGCAAATTAGTGCATGTTTAAAATAAAATAAAAAAATCAAAACAGTGGTAAATTTTACTAATTTTAATAATTAAAGTTATAAAAATTTTCATCAATTTATAAATATTTTGTGAAGGTACCACTAATTTGCAATTTTCCTAACAAAAAATAGGTACGGCTTATTTGAAAAAGTAAGTTAAAAACTAACTTTTTAATTTTTTTTTAAAAAATACAAAAAAATAAAGAAATGATATGACATAAAAAAAACTAAAAAGCCAACAAACAAGGTACTTCTATATATACAGAGTTGTAATCATCAATACATCTATCAATAACATTCAATACAATATTCATCAATACAATTTATTCTCTCCTTCTCTCTCTGTCAATTTATCTTACAAGGTACAGTGCAAGCTGTTAGATACGTGGATTTTGAAGTTTGCATTGAAGACATCGAGGAGGATTTATACC